GTGCCTGGCACCTTGGCAGGCCCCAGGCAACTTCGTGGAGCAGAGGGAACCAGCAAAACAAAAGGACACACGAGCAGGTGAGGGATGGTCAGAGTTGCCTTTGCTTTCCAATGATGATTTATTTGCTTTGTACCTGGTGACAAACACGAATAAAACACGATTTCAGCAGTGCTTCTCACTCCCCTTTTTCTGCCAGGCAGAAGAAGAAGAAAAAAAATTGTGACAAAAATCCTCCACTTCAGGAGAGATTTTTCTCTGGGACACAGATTTACAGCAGAACATCCCTGGGAGGGGCTTGCAGGGGTCCTGGGGATGCAGCAGAGGGATGAATCCTGTGCCATTCCCAGAAAAAGCTGTGGCTGCTCCCCCCCCAGTGTGTGCTGTGGACAAAGACCACCACAGGGGACTTGCAGGAGTCCTGGTGTGACACAGCATGGGAGGGAGCAGGGGCTGGAATCACAGGCAGGGTGGATGGGCAGCAGGCTGCTCTCCTCAGATATTTGCATGTTACTTATCCTCCTCATTTATATTCACAAAATTATTGAATTGTTTGGGCTGGAAGGGATCTTAAAGCTCATCCAGTTCCACCCCCTGGACAGGGACACTTTCCACGTGGTTGCTCCAAGCCCCATCCAAGCTGGCCTTGGACAATTCCAGGGATGGGGCAGCCACAGCTTCTCTTGGCACCCTGTGCCAGTGCTGAACCCTTCTCTGAGTAAAGAACACGCCCCTCATTTACATCTAATTCACATTCAGATAAACCTTGAGTCAGGAATTCCTGCTGGGCACGTCTTCCCCTATTTTCTGATGGACTCTCTGCCTGTTGTTCCTGCCTGCATCTCTTCCTTTGTCCTGCTCCCAGCTCTTCCCTGACTCGTTTTACAGAGACCCAGGGGACGCCAGGGCAGCACTGGGAATCCCAGACCTGGAAGATGCTGTGTGGGCGGGAGAGGGCTCAGCCCCAGGGAGCAGCAGGGTGAGTCTCTCCAGAGGGAGCAAATCCCACATCCAGGTCCCCTTTGGACGCAGGGCTGGGACCCGGCTCCCTGCAGCCTTCCTCTGCTGGGGAGAGCTGGGACCATTCCCTTCCCCCTGCCTCATTTTCCTCCTATTTCCAGGGATGGGCTTGGAAAACTGAGCATGGCCAGTGGCTGCTCCCTTAGGGATGCACACAGCAAGCCCAGGGGGGATTTCTCCCACAGCATCACGGAGGTACCAAGATGATTTTGAACACAAACTCCAGCCAAAGAGCTTTTCCCCTAAAACACCCACCCTCTGCCAAGGTTCCCCCCTTTCCCATTTCTTTTTTTTTCCCCCATCTCCGAAGCTGCAGAGATGGCACAGACCACGAGAGGACACCCTCCTACCTCCGACTTCCCCGGCGCACCGCGGCTGGCTGGGGAAAAATATCCGTAATAATATTACAGGGAGCGACTGGAACACACACGTCGGAGAGGAGAGCGAGCGAGAAACAATATGTTTATCCCCCTGCCGTATCCAGCCATTTATTTAGGCAGCAAGCAGCCGTTTAAATACACAAATCCCAGGCAGATTAGGCTGGAATAGGCAGGGCAGGGATTAGGGGCTGCATTCCCAGTGCCTGCGTGTGCGAGGGGAGGGCTGTGTGCTTTCCTTTCTGTGTGTGTGTGTGTGTGTGTGTTGGGTGACTTTAAAATGGAATAAACCACATTTAGCAGCTAGGTAGCTATGGAAACATCACCAAAATTGTTCTCCCACCTTTCTGCCGCACTGCTTTCCGCAGCCCTGCAAACGCTGTCAGGGGAGGGCTGAACATTGTTTCTTATAAATAATAGAATGTAAAGAGCTACAGGAAGAATCATCGCATTAGGATCGTGGAGTGGGGACGGTTTAGGGGGAAAATCGTCCAGCAGCTCTAATATTAATTTCTGATGATTTAGCAATGATAAGGGACTTAATTTTCATATTTTTCTGGGTTTTTGGTTTTTTTGGTTTTTTTTTTTTCCAGTTTATGGAAGGTTGCAGGCTGAGGAGATGCACTGTGGTGTGTGTACCCACAGGGAGGTGTGTGTATGTGTATGTACATAAATATATGTGCAAAACATCCTCCAAAAGGGTGAGCACAAACAGCAATATCACAACAGCAATTCCAGGGTTCAAAAGAGAAGGGTTTCACCTGCTTCCCAGCTTTTCCTGCATGCCACAGCCACCAGCAGAGGCAATTCCAGCCCTGTGGCTCTGCCCTGCCCCAGCCTGGCTCCCCAGTTTCTCTCCTGACCTATGGATTTGCAGGTTATCCTGCCCATGGCCCTGCTGGAACGCTGCCAATCTTGTTGAGGTATTTAGAGGCTGAGAAGACTGGTTATATATCACAGCTGATTTTAAAGAGGCTTTAAACCTGGGAATTAAATTCCAGCCCGCTGGACTCAACCAGAAAATGCTCGGCTGTTTTCACTGGGGTCAGAATTTAATCCTGAAGGTTCTCCAGGGCTGAGGAAGGAGGCAGAGTGCATTTGAGCCTCCTAGGGCTGAAGTTTGTGCTGTGGTGGAGCCCAGGGGACAGTGTGATGTCCAGTGGCACATTCCTCCTATGCCCCAAGCAGAAGGGGCTGGCTGGGAATGGCCAGGACAAGGACAGGGAGCAGAGTGGGGCTCACTGTCCTACAGTGCCTCTGATCAGGAGTGCCCTGATGTCCCCTCATTGCTCTACATTCTGAGTGCTGCCACAGGTCCAACATTCCAAATGTAGGAGCCAAGTTTGGGGTCTCTATCCAGCATCAGCCCTGGCCCTACATCCCTGACCCTCCAATGAGATCCAGAGACTCCCCCTGGATGGGATCCTGTGCCAGCACTGAGGCTGAGCTGTGACTTTGCTTTGGTGACTCCAAGAGCTTCATGAGGTGCAGGAATCCCACATTCCCTCAGCAGGGCTGCTCTTGCAGGGAGTCAAAGGAGCTGGAAGCTGAAGGACACACAGAGTGTTTTAGGGTCTGAGGTAAGGTTTTCCTGTCAATGTCCAAGAGAATTCACCTGGAGCCCCGCTGGAACATGAGCAGAGGTGTCAGGCCCTCTGAAGGGTGACTGAGCATTCCTTAGGCAGGATGAGCAACCCTAGCAAGTCCTGGTGTTCTCCTCTGCCCCAGGAGAAGCCAGGCCAGCCAGCTCAGCACAGGAACCAGCCTGGAAAGGGGATAGCAGGAGAAAACTCCAGGAGAAATTGCGAACCCCTCCCTCCAGCCCTAAGGAGCCACTTCCACCGTTCACAACAAGGAGTCAGTGACGCCCATGGATGCCTGAAGGTGTTTTCACACCCAGCTGCAGGGACAGAAGAGGGGACAGGGACTGTCCATTCTCCATCCCCATCTCCAAGCTGGAGACCTTGGCTCCCACCAGGGCCTCTGAGCAGGGAGGGAGGGGGGGAGGCAGCAGCACCTCTGGCAAGATCCAGAGTGAGTCCTGAATCCTGCTGATGGACAATGGCAGAGCTGTGCTGCTCCAGCCAGCCTGAGGACACTGCCTGCCCAGGGAAGAGGCCCTGCCCATCCTCAGATATTGGATTTGCCAGGCATGGAAGGGGCAGTGCCAACTTCTTCCTCCTGCCCAGTCCTATCCCAGCCCACTCTGGAGGCATTGGCAGCAGCTCCCTCTCCACCCCATCCTTTAACAATCAGAAGGATGGAAAAACAAAACCCTTTATTGTCTACAGTTAAACTTTACTGTCTAATGTTTTAATAAACAGTCAAGTTCTTCCTCTGATCATTAAATCTGCAGTAAAGCAGGGTGGAAACCGGTTTATGAGATTCTATCTGCATCACTACCACACAGATGGGAGGTCCTGGCAGCTGCAAGCAGCTACTCCCAGTTCCATGGCTTCCTGCCCACTCTGAGATCTGCTGTGGGTTTGGGAGAGGTGCAGCTCATCCCTCCTCAAGGGAGATGGGCGGAGTGAGGCCTCTCCAGGGCCTCCCCAGCCAATCCCCTGAGCTCCAGTGGAGAGAAGATAGTGCTGAGAAGCTGCTCTGCTCCTAACAAGGAGCAGGAATTCCTCCTGGGAATTCTACCTTGAAATGGTTTCAGACAGGTGAGCAGCTGACTCCTGGATTTGTGACAATTGGAAGCATTTCCATGGCAGCAGTTTGCCTTGTTCAGTGTTCAGGGGCACACTTTAAATCTGGAATTATTTCCTGTTGTACCCACAGAATCACAGAGGAGCTGGAAGATTCGCTGGGTGGGAACTAAACCACCTACAGATAAAGGTTTAAAACCAGAAATAACGAAATTATTAAATTATAAATCCCCAGGTTTGGGGTGACAGGAATGGGGAATGTCATCCTACAGGTGGGAGCAAGCCGAGGGTCAGCCTGCAGCAGCAGCTTCAAAGCTGGGTCAGTGCTCAAGTGCCTGGAGAAACTTAATCCCTTTGTTATCTCTGGGATGATCCCTGTTTGCTTGAAAGCATTAACACCCTTTAATCTCTGTTTTCCCTGGAATCCCCAGGCCCCAACTGTTGGCCCTGTGGACCTGACCGTGAGCAGTGCTGGTGGTCCCTCACACTCAGTGCCAGCAGGACGAACTCCCAAACACCTCCCAAAAGTTCTCTGCCACTTTTCCTCGGCAGGAAACAATGCCCACCCCTCCACCCTTGCCCACAGCAGTTTTGCTGGCTCACAGTTGTTGCAGCAGCTTTGATTGCCAGCAGTGAGGCTCCATCTCCTCGGGGGTGGCTCTGTCAGCAGCAGATCCCAGATTTCCTGCTCACCACCATTTGTGGGCTGCTCCAACCGTTTGTCCAGTCATAAAATTATCAGCACATTATCCCTGGGCAATGACTTGTAATTGTCTCTTTTTATTACTCAATAAACAGTTTGGAAACCAAACCCCAGAGAGAGAGGAGGAACTCACTCACTACTTTACAGCAGTGCAAAGAGAGAGGTGAAGGAACACTGAAAGGTACCAAAAAAAATCCCATTTTGTTAGAGTTACTTTAGTAATTAATGAGAAATGTGGTGTGGGACACTTACAGTGGGAATGGAGAAAAAGAAGCACAACCTTGAGAAGTCCTGCAGGGGAAAGTTGCTGGGATAAATATCCTTGATAACAGCTCCAGCAGCTCACAGCCCAGTTTTCCATCCCTTGGTCCCAAATGTCAATATTCCCTTGTGAACATGCCCGGAGAGCCTTGGGGAAGAAAAATACAGCAGTTAGCTGGCACAGTAGAGCTCCAGTCAGTGCAGCTCTATTAGATCCATATATTCCCAGCTGCAGCCATATATTCCCAGGAAAAGGGGCTGTGATGGAGGAAGGAGATCGTTCCAAATGAAAAAGAGATGCAGTTTACACAGAGCCAGAACTACTCCTAAATCTAAGCCTAATTGAATTATAAATAGCCTGGGTGCTTTCTTTCCATCCACAATCTCGTTAAACTTCCAAATATATGGATATGTAATCCCACGTTTTCTAAACATTTCTGTTTGAATTTCAGTTCCAATGTGATGGTTTATATCTCCAAGTTGACCTGTTTTGAGGAGGAAAAAAAATTAGCTGAGTTCCCCCAATCAAAATGCTTCACTCTGGGATGAATGAAATGTTGACAGAGATTTTTTTTTCCCCTTTCTCCAAATATATTCCTCACTGGGATGGAGGAATATACATATTAGATAGATAGATAGATAGATAGATAGATAGATAGATAGATAGATAGATAGAAAGAAATAATAATTATATATTATAATTATATATTATAATATATAAAATTATATATGTTATTTTATATATTTATATATATATATGTAAGATATATATACATTTTATGTTATTTTATATATTTATATATATATTCCAAACTGGGAACTACCAGAATGGATTTTATTCATTCATTTAAGGCCAGTTGATCCATGGAAGAGAAAAAAAGCCCAGCCTCCACTCAATTCGCACAGCAATGATTTCCAACCTGCTTTCACATTTCAAATTAAGCTATCCAATCTATCCCATGGATTTGGGATATAGGAGTTTGAGGGGTAACTAGGGATTGATAAATTGAATAATGGGTTGTGTCTAAAACAATGGTTTATTGGGGAAATATCTCTGGTAAAAGAAGTGCCCAGAGCATGCTGTGTCCTGTTGGTCATGGATTTCTCCCAGTTCCCCTCACTGAAGCTCATTGTCAGCTTTGGAAATGAAAGGAGTGGAGATTTTGTCTTACACACTGGTCTGACAGGCCAATCTCCAGAAGAATTAGGTTTAAATTGGATGTTGGGAAGAAATCCTTCCCTGTGCTGAGGCCCTGGCAAAGTTGCCCAGAGCAGCTGTGGCTGCCTCTGGATCCCTGGAAGTGTCCAAGGCCATTGGATGGGGCTTGGAGCATCCTGGGACAGTGGAAGGTGTCCTTGTCCATGGCAGGGGGTGGAATAAAATGGGATGAACTTTAAGGTCCCTTTCAACCCAAACCATTCTGGGATTCTATGAATCCACTCCCAGGCTGTGTCACTGGAAAGTCTGGGCAGGATGACACAGCAGGATGTTTTTATGTGATTTTATTTTTTTTTTTGAGATTTTCTGATGCCATCCTTCTATTCTGCAACAGCGTTGGGCTGGAGAGAAAAAACAAAACTCCATGTGGATTCTGATTTGCACTTGTCAGAGCTTTTGCTCCAGGCTGCCTGGAGGCTGTTGGACAACTCTGTGCTCTCACCAGGTTTTCCTGACAATGCAGACAGGAATTTGTTTCCAGAGCCAGGCTGGGAAGCACAGATCCCGCAGCAGCCCTCAGTGCAGAGTCAGTCCCCAGCACATGGGCTGCAGTGGGATCTGGGCTGTTTGCAGAGCACAGAGCTCCCGCGTTCCCAAACTCTTCCCAAAGTGCTCAGCAATCAGCAACACTAACGTGTCCCTCCTGACTGCCTGCAGCACTCACAGGGTCTGGGAATGCTGTGGGATGCCAGGGAAGATCAGGCACACCCACACAGGGTGACAAGGACATCTCAAAGGTTTCAATTGGGACTGGAGCTAATTCATCCCAAGGGAAGGTTGTTTGTTCACAGCCTCTTCCCATAGAGCAGAAGGAAGGGTGGCGATTCCTCTGCACACCAACCCCCAGGATTGTTCATTCCCCTCTGGAATGAAAACTAAAGCCTCTGGCAGGAGGGGGACAGGCTGCAGCACAGATATTCCAAGTTTAAATCCCTGTTGCCTGAGGGGAACAGAGGTTCTCCAACCCTGGTGCCCAGGAATGACACCTGGGATGTCCCAGGGTATTCCCCCAGCTTGTTGCCACTCCAGGTGGGCACTGAACCCTCAGGGATGCTGCATCACCCCTACTCCTGTGCTCAGTACCTATCACTGGTACCAGCCACCACAGCCAGGTGCCTTCATCCCCACACAAAAAGACTAAATAAAGGGTATTTTAGAAACAGAAAATCCCCTTACCCAGGCAAAATGCTTCTCCTCACTCCTCTACCATCCATACCCCCCTCTGGATTTGGAAGGCAGCTGTACCGCTGAAGGCTTGCCAGACCCTTGGCTGGCCAATTCCCAAAACCAGAAATATCATAAATAAGTTATCTTTACTTCTTTCTCTTTCCCAATTCTTCTTTAAATATCCCTGTGAGACCACCAGCCTGAGACACACCTGGGCCCTGCTCACCTCCAGGCACTCCAGTGTGTTCCCACATGGACAACATTCCCCTGCCTTGGGAACAAGAGTCTCCTCTAAGCCTCTTGGAGGCCTGAGGACATAGAAGAGCTGGTCAAAAGGAGTAAATCTCCTGAAAAATCAAGGAGGTGAGGTTTAGACCAAGCTTCAATGTGAACAGCCAGTTCTGGAGGCTGTGGACAGACAGAAATTTGGGATTGGGAAGCAGTTATTTCTTTCTGGGAAGCCTGGTGGGTCATACTGCTCTCCCAAACCACCAGCCCAGGCAGAGCTGTGCATCCATTTTAATTCTTTCCCAAATGTCCTGCAGGATGGAGAGAGTTTAACCCCCTAGAACCTGATGTGAGGGGATCACAGCCCTGCAGAAGAGATGATGCTCTGTGCAGGAATCACCACAGGAGCATTCAGCCCCAGGGCTCTGCTTCAAACACAGCACCTGACTCCAAACATGAGCAAAGAACAAAACTGAGGCTCAGAAGGCTCAGACAGAGCAGCAAAATAAATCAGTGACAGAATCTCCAAAAGAGACAAATGAAGTTGGAATTCGTCCTTGTTTATTTTAATGTTTGGAATGTTTTCCAGGTGATTTATGCCCCCTTTTCAGTGTGTTCCTCTCTGTCTCTCTCTTTCTCTCCCTTCTCTTTTTTTCTTCTTTAAAACAGGAAAAAAATAAAAATTTGGGAGTTAATTGGTTTTCCAGGCTTGGCAGCCAGACACTGTAATTGATCTCCGAAGAGATGGATTTGTCGGTGGGCTGGGCATGAATTTGACAACCAGGCAAGGAAAGGAAGAAATATTTCCCTCTGCACACCAAGCAAAAGGGGGTCACTCTGGCAGAGCCAGTGCCCCAGGGCCAAGGCCCTCCCTTTTCCCAGATTTCCAAGTTAAACAGTGCTTGGTGCCTTGGGCCCCTTCCAGTGAGAGGGACAGGAGATTTGAGCTGACTGGGAAAATCCCCTCGTTTAGAGCTACATCTCAGATGACATTTTTGGCTCTTTTTTTATCCCAGCTTTTCAAAGGTCCACATGGGAAAATGCCTGTTTGCCTTTAATGTGTGGCATGGGACACTCCTTGCCTTTCCATTCTCTCTGCTGTTTTTTCCTGTCTTTTGGAAGTCTATTATCCCTGGATACCTCAAGCAAGACACCTGTAACTGCAGCTCCTGCCACCCCACACATTCCCACTCAGAATTTATATTCACCCCAAACCCCACATCTCTCACCTCCACTCTCCCCAAAAGGCTGGAGCCACCCTAAACCTCCAGGAGCTTATTGTGGGAGCAGAGCTGTTCACACTGGGAAGGAAGAGGAGACCTGAGTTGGGGGGACAAGGATGCCCCAAACTCCCCATATTTACTTTGCCCCACCAAACCAAGTTCCCCCTGTTGGGCAGCACAACAAACCTGGACCACACACGCAGGTTTTCCTCTGTTGGAGCAAAGAAATACCTATTCTGGTCAGGCAAGAGGCCTGATCCTGCTGCTCCTGGAGGGTGCTGAGCCTGAAGGCAGCTCCCAAAGCTGCCAGGGTGCCCTGCTGCCCACCCCAGCCCGCAGCAGATGGCAAGCAGCCGTTCCTGTTCCCGACAGACGTTCCTGCGGCCCCGCAGGGAATCCAGGCTCCCACTCATCTCTGCAGGTAAACCCACCTGGGAATTCGGTGCAAAAAGCACAGAGCAACACATTTCCCAGAGCCAGCCCCGGGGTTTAGCGCTGTCTGTCTCCCCTGGGGCTGAGCAAGGCGTTCCTGGGTTTGTGGCCACACTGCAGCCAGGCAAGCGCTGGTCCTGGGAAGAGAATCCTCCTCCCATCACAAAGGGGCACCCATCCCTCCATCCCAGAGCTTCCTAAAGACTTTGCTTGCTTTGGAGAGTGCACATCCCAGGAAAAAAACACCCTGCAGAATTCCTCTCTTCAGCATTAGGCTCTTCCTGGCTGCTTTTGCTTTTTGCTGCACATTTATTCCAAACACCTCTCTGAAGATCCACTGGCTGAGCTTGGAAGGAGCCAGGAAAATCCAACAGCCTCTCCCAGACAGACTCTCCTTCCCCTTGTGAGAACCCAGAGGAGGATATCACATTCCTATCCACCTGCCAACCTGCCTGGGACATGAGGAATTGCTGTCCTTTTATCCCTTAGAGCCCTCTTGGAAAAGCCAAGCTCAAGCCAAGCCTGCCCTAGTTAAGCTGTGCCGCTCAGAATGCCCCTTACAATGACAGCAATCCTGTGCTGCTGACACCCCCGGGCACAGCCCTGCAGCAGGAAACCCGGGCTTTGCTCAAGGCAGAGTTAAAGCCTGGAGCTGACTTCCACGGGAAGTTGTGGTGGCCAAGAATCCGTGACATTTCAGAGAGGAAGCGGGAATGTGCGTGGATAACGAGAATAGCCGGAGTTACGCCAGCTAAATACCAACATCTCTGTGAAAGGGATATTAATATTGCGGGCCACCTCCAGCTAGAGGAGATGATGAGCAGCTCCAACACGAGGCAGGTTTTTGCCTTCTGCTGCGCTTCCCTTTGCTTGGGAAAA